ATAATAATAATAAAGCACTAAATAGATAAATTTCTGAAATGACAACTTCATTTGACAGTTATCTTTTACCTTGACTGGTGCTCATAAGTAAATACAGGGCCATAAGAAAGGAAAAATATTTAAAAAGAAATCGGCGATAACTCGTAAACGGGATAATCAAAAATATCTAAAGTTATTCTTTTGAATGTGGGTTTTAGTGCTCTTCAATAAACTTAAATAGAATTATTCTCTAAAATAATTAGGGAAGTCAATAATTGACCCCATTAAAATTTACATGGGATTTCCTATATGTCCCGCTCGACGATGGAACACCCGGTATAAATAATAATATTGTCTTTGGAGGTCAAAACTGCATGCAGGGGGGTTTCGAGACGCACTAAAAATAATAGTTTATTGTTTTTATGTTATAAATAATTAACTAATATTATAATTGTTAAAAACGAAGAAATTTTTTTTACAAATATCGGATATATCAAGATCGTATATTTCAATAGCATGATTCATAGTTGCTATCATTCGGGAAATCGGAGGACGCCGATTCGTGGAAGAAAAAGGCACGTAAAAAAATCGAACTGGTCTGAGCTGGCGAGGAGGTATATTCATTCCACATAGTGAGAGCAGTCGGGGTTCATCAATGAAGTTATTAAGAATTTTGAAAATGAACATTATTGAATAATAGTTTCGTCTAACTTCTAATGTATTTATATTAAATTCATTTCTCAAGTCAGGAGCGAACTCTATCGTAGTTGGGGATTTTGGGCGTATTTTTTGTAGTATAAATATCTCAAAAAATTGTTTTGTACTTTCTTTATATGTTTAATGCGTGTTACCTGTACAGGGTTCCAAATTACAGAAGCAAATTCCAGCTTCGGACGCACCAACGCAAAATACAATATTTTTAATGTTGAACCAATGTTAAATAATTTAATTTATTATCATACTCTAGCCCTAAATCTCTTACCAAATTAACTCGCCTCATTGGCTGGTTATCGATCAAGTAATTAAAAATAATATATGTTCTACTATAGGAACTTTTTTGCACCATTTCGTTCTAGAGACTTGTTGGCTACAAACTGTTGCAGACATTCTTTTAAGTGCTTTTGTTTGGCCATTTCCAACTGCTTTTTCGTTACCCTTGTGACCATCATGCCTTGGTACCCAGGCTAGCTAGTACAGAATCAGACTGCAGGATTATTACTCTCATCATATTTTTAATCAAAACATAGTTTTTACGTATATTTATGAATAGGGGAATGCACTTTTAAAAGGGTGTCAATCAAAAAGTTGCCGCAAATAGGGGTTGCCACGGTTCAAAGTTTTTTCTACTACTTTGTACGGATCCGGCAACAATGCGTCGCGCATCTGGAGCTCCTGTAATAAAAAACTTAGGAATTTTGGATAAGTGAAAACCTAAATTATGTATTAGAATGGATGTTGGGGTCTGGTATTGAGCCCAGGGGGGCCTAGGGCTTTTGTTTTTTTTTAAATGAAAAATAATTTAAAAAACACATTTTTTGAATAAAATGTTTACATGAATTTCTCTATTAATAAATTTCATAGACATGGTTATCAAACAATACCTACAAATTTTTTAAAAAAATAAAAATTAACACATTTTTTGAACACAACAAAACAATATTAACTAAACAAAACTAAAAAACGCCATTTTTACTGCATCACAAGCAAATAAAAATTAATACGTAGCCAAGAGTCAAAATTCAGGATTTGTCTGGGGGGTGCCCAGCAGTACCTGGGGGGGGGGCACCCCTTTAGTTACGCCAATGGTTGTCAAAGACATTGTCAGTTCAAGAAAGTATTTATTTCAAAGTTATCCATTATTAAAATTTATTTACTGAAATGAAATTTGCTTTCGACGAAGTAAATATCGACTAAAATAAAATAACAACCTTTTTTAAATATTTTCCAATAAAAAAGCTCCCCCTGTCGTTACGTCTCGATTCCCTTTAATACAAGACAACTCCCAAACAACCCCTATCGCTTCGCCCTGCACATTACCTTCTTGCTCAATTTTTCGTCTTTCCGAATAACATTCTCCTCCGGCTTACTTCATCCAATTTCCCCTACATTTTCCCCCCTTTCCTCGCCGTTCCCCTGCTGCGATCCGATATATTATATGATTCCGGTTCCCCCACCACTGGCGCTGCTGTGTCGCCGTTTTCGGTCACATTCTAGCGAACGTTGACTTGTGAGCTGGTGGATGGTGGCGGAGCTCTGCGATTGGCCGGGGTGCGTTAATCCCATTGGCCTACCGCCGTGCTCTTTCACGGGGCGCGACACGCCCACTTGCGAGCGGTGGCGTTTCAACCCCCTCGCTCCGGTTGTCGAAATGACCCCTCGCGGGATATGTCCAATATGTTTAATATTATTTATGTATAGGATAAATATATAGATGGAAAAACAAGAAAATTTTTATTTTCATTTTAGAAACAATAAGGTTTTGATTGTCGAAATAAAAAATTTTATTTTCGATAATTTTTATTACAACACCGTCTGAACAGAAGGTCAAAGAAATCTGACGTCAAAATCTCTTACGCTGCCACATTATCGAACAGAATTTTTATTACTTTTTGTGGCTTAAAAAGCTTGAATTATTTAAAAGTGCAGGTGATTAATACCGTATGATCGAAAAAAAGAGTGACGTCAAAGACGGCTGGGGAACTGGACACTTGTTAATAATTTTGGCGAGGTCAATCTCTATACAGGGTGCGTCTCAAAAGTGGCTCATCCCTATAAATTTTTTATTTTTTCACTTAAAAAAGCAAAATTTGGTGTGTTAGTATACGACATAAATTAGGATTCATTGACGTATTCAATTGTGTCTTGTCACTTCCTGTTTCACCAGAAATGACTACAAGTTTTGATTTTTAAATGGTATCCTCCGTATATTTTTACTTTATTTGATAGAAAATGGCATTCTGAGTAGAATGATATACCATATGTCAACTTTTGAATTCTTTCGAATTCTCAACATTTTCGTTTAAAAAATCAGATTTTAAATTTCAATCTAGAGTCCCATGGCAGTGTTAAAAATACTAATTTTTAATCAAGGAGCCTTGGAATGTTTTTTTTTGTCAAGCTTGTCAAAGTTTGTCTTAAAAGTCTTGTTGTCAAAGCTTGTCAAAATTTAATATTAATTATAAAAACGTTAAAAAAGGATAAAACATTTCCGGACACAAGTCTGTTTCCAAAAAGTTATATTTTTCTGGAATTTCTATTAAGCTACACATTAGAAATCATTGTTACTCAATATAAAAATAAATTAATAAACTCAACTTAATCACTTGTATATGACAATAAGCCTACTACTACCAGTAACATTAAAGATAATCACAAAAATAACAAACAACAGAATACAAAACATGCTAGACACTGCACAACCACGAGAGCAAGCAGGCTTTAGAAGCGGTTTCAGCACGATTGATCACATACATACACTAAGAGAAACTATCAGCCGAACAAAAATATACGAATTACACTATAGCTATAGCCTTTATAGACTTTGAGAAGGCTTTCGACTCAACATATTCTAATGCATTAATAGAGGCCTTAGCGAAACAAGCTATTGACAGGCCTTATATAGCAACTCTCGCCCAATATATACAAAGAAGCCAAAGCAAGAGTAATCATATATAAAACAACCCCAGAGTTCCCCACTGACAAAGGAATACGACAGCAACACTAGAAGAAAGTCTTCGTCATCTGGACTCTCTTAAAAATAGAAGATTTGCTGATGCCAGAGAACAGTCCTGAAGAACTACAAGTACAAATTAACGAACTAAATACAGCATGAAATAAAGTAGGTTTCAAAATGAATTTAGCAAAATTAAAGTAATGTATAACGAACTAGAAGACAGAAAAGACATTCTAATAAATAGCACAACCCAAATAGTAGAAGAATATATATTTGGGACAACTAATACACAGCTCGGGATCTATACTATCAGAAATCAACAGAAGAATTAAGTTAGCATGGAATACTTATGGAAGAAACTCAATCATATTCAAATCTAGAATACCAGTTTATCTAAAGAAGAAAATTCTTCCAATGTATACTACCAATCATGGACTGGACACTTAAAAGAGACATTATAAGGAAAATGCAGGTCGCACAACGCTCAATGGAACGAAATATGTTAGAAATAACCAAAAAGTCCCTAAAAGAATAGAGTGGATACGACAAAAGATCCAGGTAATAGATGTAATCTACAGAATCAAATCCGTCAAGTGGCAATGGGCAGGATACCTGGCAAGAAGGATGGACAACAAATGAACCACAAAAATTACAGCATGGTACCCACGAGGAATTAAGAGACCTAGAAGAAGACTAAACTTGAGATGGGGCCATGATATTAGGAAATTAGCAGGTATTACTTGGGCCCGCATAGTCAACAATACACAACCATGGGAGAGAACAATCTACAGAGAAAGTATTTAAATATGTGAGGGAGGCCACACCATAATTAGAAATGGTTGAATAAGGTGAAAATGATGATGATGATATGCCAATAGAAAATAGAATTTTAGCAAAAAAAGTAGTGAATAATTACTGACTTGTTCAATTTAACGTAAATTAAAACTCCTTTCCATTACTAGATCGTCGCGAAAACTAAAAGGGGAAAAGTTACCGAAAAAATTCCACCACCATTGCATAAATAACTTCACTCTAACCCCCTAAATACACCATCATACTGCCACCCCCTGCAAACCGAAGTCGGAGGGAACATTTTTGGGGGGATGTAGGGTAAAACGGGAGGGGAAAGAAGGGTAGGACGGGGTAGATTCGCGCGCGCGCCACCTCAGAAGTTAAATACGGGGTGGCGAGGTCAGATCCCGCCCCCTTTGACGTTCGCGTGGACGGACGACGCTGCCTCTATATCGTTGTGTTTTGTCCCTCGATATCAGCCCTGGTTGCAGGACGCACAACAGGCTCTCAAAATTACTGCTACTTCTCTCTTTGTTTTTTTTGGGTGCTTCTGATACACCTGTTGTTGTTTTAAAGCGTTGGCTTTAATATTTGTTCTATATTTTGTGGTAGTGTCACCTGTTATTTGTTGTTTGACTTCGTGAAAAATCATGGACCAGAATCCTGGGATGTTGGGGGTGCATCAGTCCAGGTCGCCTGAGAATAATATTCATCCTACCGGTGAGTAGTTTGATCAAATTATTGTTATTAAGTATTTCTTATACAAAGAAACGCTCGTCATACAATGATAAATTATGCTTGCTTAGGTTGTATTTTATTGTTTGCTTATTGTATTTAAAAATATAAAAAAATGTTGTTACTTAGAAAGTTATAGAAGATATTCCGATAATACAGATTAATGAATAATACTAATTTTTAATAATAATACAATTAATTAACTGGGATAAAATATGTGGCCTCTTTCGATTTCAATATCACTTCTTTGTTCGTTTTTATAATATCATTTCTAATATTTTGACTTCAACGTGTATAGTATAGAATGAATGTGTAGTATCGAAAACTTTAGTAGTTTTGGCACAAAAGCTATTACCAAAATGTTTAATTTTTTTGGTAAGGAAATATGGATCAGAATTTTTGAATGTTATGTTATTATTACTGTAATATACTGATAAGAATATTACGGTTTTTAGATTACTAATACCGTATGATCGAATAAAAACGGCGTCAGCGATCGCTATGAAATGAAGGTCGCTGTCATTTTATATGGGAATTGTCATTGATGTTCATTTTCAAGCCAGCTGGACGCCGTTTTTTTTCGATCATACAGTTTAAATACACTACGTCATACGTTACGCTACGTTACTCCAAAGACTGCGTTTTTTCTTCTTTTTAATTAAAATTATATTGCTTTGAGAAATAATTTGTTATTAATAATTCACGAAAAAAATAGTATCTTCTTTAGTAGTATTTAGTAGTTAGTAGTAGTACTCATTCGTAGTTTGTCTCTTCGTGATATTCATTCCTTTAATATTAGAATCAAAATTTTGCCGCCAGATTGTAATTATACAGGATGTCTGTTAAACAAGTACAAGTATTTTAAGGGGTGTAGTAGATCTGGTCCCCCAAAAATGTTTTTTATTTACCATTTTCTAAAATCGAAAATAAGTGAGTTATTTATCTTTAGAATTTTAAAAATGCAATACTTAGATTTTGAGAACAGCCGGCAACAATCGTTAATCAGTACACGGACAAGAAATGTTAATAACTTGTTTTGTACTGGCTTTTGTTAAAGCCCTGAGACTGTATGATACACTACTGAATACACAATAGATCTATAAGGTCGCGGTGATTAGTTCCCCTCCTAAACATTCTACATTCTACTTGTTTTGTAACTGTAATATGGCGATAAGAGAATCTACAATAATTGTGTTAGTTTTTGGTTTTTTCCTTAAGTTAAAAATAGTTGTAACGTCTTAACGTGCGTTAAAAAATAAGCGCAGGATGACATGTAATTCGAGAATTATTAATAATTCCACTGATATAATTACAATTAATTTTCGCAATTTATTGTGTAGAAAAATAAAATTACTTAGTAAACTTATAAACAGACTATTATGCAGAATGTGGGTAATGTAGGAGTTGGCAATATTGCAAGGCTTAGAAAGGACCATTTTATTTTTTATATATTTTAGGAAAATGTCAAGGAAGATGTAAAGTTTTCATCAATTTTTTTAATCAAAACCACATATGCGTCTTTCTGGGGTCGCTGTTATACTACGTATATTACCTATAACCATGTACTCATTTTCTCAATCCGTCAATGCAGAATTGGTAATTTTGACTGCATTGATTTAATGAAAATGCCAAAGTTTTTATTATTATACTTTTTGGCTTGCCTTTCTTCTTCTTCAAATGCCTTCTTCGTTGCGAAGGTTGGCAATCATCAGTGCTATACGTATTAGTTGGTTTGTGGTGCACCCGAACCAGTCACGTAAGTTTCTCATCCATGAGTGGCGCCTTCTTCCTACACACTTCTCTTTCCTTGAATTTTTCCTTGTAATATCAGTTGGAGTAGGTGGTACTTTTCTCCTCTCATGACGTGTCCAAGGTACTGAAGTTTACGCTTTTTTACCGTTATGATAATTTCTTTTTCCTTTTTTATTCCTTTCAGGATTTCCATGTTGGTCACTTTATCGGTCCATTTTACCCTAAGCATTCTACGGTACAGCCACATCTCGAATGCCTCTAGTTTCCCTATGTCAAGTTTATTCAGAGTCCAAGTCTCTACACCATAATACAGCACCGACAAAACATAGCATCGCACCATTCTGATTTTTAAATCCAAGCTGAGATCGCTGCCACAGAGCACTCTTTTCATTTTCACAAATGTTGTTCTCGCCTGTCCTATTCTAGTTTTAATTTCTTCAGAACAGTCGTTATTTTTATTTACAATTATACCTAAGTATTTATAACTGTCAACTTTTTCTATGGTGTGGTTATTTATATGAATTTGTGAATTGTTTGGTGTTGTTTTGGTTATTATCATAAATTTTGTCTTTTTTACATTTAGTGACAGTCCGAGCTCTTCACTCGATGTATTAACTTTATCTACTAATATCTATAAATCGTTTAGGTTGGCAGCCATCAGGATCGTATCATCCGCATATCTTATATTGTTGATAGGCACTCCGTTAATTTTTAGTCCTTTCGTTTCATCGTCCAATGCTCGTTTCATTATTTCCTCTGAATAGAGGTTAAATAACATCGGTGATGTTATTAGCACGCACTCCTGCCTAACGCCTCGACGGATTTCTATTTCTTCGGTGTTATTCCCTTCTATTTTTACCACTGCTTTTTGATTAAAATAAAGATTCGTAATAATTTTTATATCTCTGGTGTATAAGTTCTTTTCTTTCAGAACCTGGATAAGTTGTTCGTGTCTGACCCTATCGAAGGCTTTGTTGTAATCAATGAAACATATATAGAGATCCTGATTCATATCCATACATCGTTGGGCGAGAACGTTCAAAGCAAATAGTGCTTCTCTTGTGCCTAAGCCATCTCGGAAACCGAATTGAGTCTCGCTGATATCCTGTTCTAATGTTTTGTAAATCCTGTTATGTATCACCTTCAGAAGTATTTTTAGCGTATGACTCATTAGACTGATTGTTCGAAAGTCTGTGCATTGCCTTGCATTATGTTTTTTCGGGATAGTGACGAACGCTGATAGCAATCATTCCCTGGGTATATGGTGTTGAACAGATCTGTTAGACTGTGTATGTTTTCCTCTTCTATCAACTTGAAAATTTCAGAGGGTAACTCATCAGGCCCTGCGGCTTTTCCATCTTTTGTGATTTTTATAGCATGGATGAGAGACCTCTTCTTTAGTTACTTCCGGTCCGCTGTTTTCTTGTTCTGTTACTATTCTGTTTATATCTCTCTCATCATCGAACAATTCTATTATGTAATGTGTCTTTCACGTTCTTAGTTTTTCTTCCATTTCCATAATGATTTTGCCATTCTGGTCAGTGAGTATCGACGGTTGTCTTTTTTTCTGTAATCCTGCCAGTTCTTTTACTTTCTTGTGGACATTGAAGCTGTCATGCTTTTCTTGAAGGGCTTCTATTTCGTCGCATTTTCTTTTGTAGGACACCTCTTTTGCTTCTCTTATTTTTGATCGGATTTCTTTCTGAATATTCTTATATGCGTCGTTGTTGTCTTTTACACCACGTCGTTCGTTCATCAATTTCAAAATTTCTGGAGTCATCCATTCCTGTTTTTTCCCTATTTTCTGTTTTGTCAGAATGGTCTTGCTCGGCTCAATTAATGCATTTTTTAAATCTTCCCATTGTTTGTCCGTGTCTTCTTCCGTTGTTATTTGATTGTTTTTGAGGGTTCTGAGGTTATCGTTGATCTTATTTTGTAGCCTTTGCCTTGTTTCTTGGATTTTTAGACCCGATACGTCTATACGATTTGCTGTTGGTATTACTCGTTGTTTTTTAAGTGTTATTAAAAACCGGGCTACTAAGGGATTATGGTCCAATGATACATCTGCCCCTGGGTAGGTTTTTACTGATTTGATTACTTTTTTATATCTGTGGTTTATCAGGATGTAATCAATTTGGTTCCTGACTGTATTTTGTTTGTTGTCTTGCGGAGATTTCCAGGTGTACAAACGACGGTTTGGAAGTTTGAAGAACGTGTTCGATATATTAAAATCGTTCTCTTGGCAAAATTGCAGCAGTCTGTCACCTTTTTCGTTTCTCCTACCAAGTCCATATTCTCCCACACAATTATCAAATCTCCCCCTGCCAATCTTGGCATTGAAGTCTCCTAATACTAGTGTTATGTCCCTTGATTTTAGAGATTGCATGATGTTATTGATTTCGTTGTAGAATTCCTCAATGTCTTTGTCAGATTTATCTGCTGTGGGGCGTATGTTTGAATTATGTTTAATTTACAATGATTCGTTTGAAGTTGGAGTAACATGGCTCGGTCTGATATAGGGGTAAAGTTTATTACTGATTTATTGATTTCACTGGATACCACGATCGCAACTTCATATCTATGGTGGCTGTCATCATTTCCTGAATAATAAATGGTGCCGTTGGCTATTGATTGTTGTCCAGAATTCGGCCATCTAGTGTCACTGATTCCTAGGATGCTTAGATCTAACCTTTGCATCTCCTGGATAACATTATGTATTTTTCCAGGTTCATATAAACTGCGTACGTTCCATGTACCAATTCTCATAGCTGACCCGGGGATCATCTCATTCTCTTCGCACCCTCATCCCCGATCATTTAAGATCTGCCGGGGACTGAGGGCCGTTTGTTTGTTGTTTTCAGCCATGATGATTTGTACTAGGGAGAATCGATATGATCTTTAATGAAGTGGTTTCCCCTTGCCTGGCTTGCCTTTGGCCTGCTCCAGTTTTGTAGACGGTTTCAAGTATTACGAAAATGTTGTAATTCCTTTAATTAATAACTTTGCAATTATTTTTTTGCAAGTATTCTTCATGCAAGTTTTTTTCATATTATCCATAATTCTATAATACTCTTAAAGCCAAAACAGACTATTATTTATGGGTTTTTTGTTTTTGTAATATCATGACTGACAAACATTTATAAGCACAGCCTCTTCCTTGGTCATATCCCGCAATCGTGGCCATAGTACGACCGATCCTCACATATAGATCCCTGGTATGGTGGCCAGCTTTG